AAATCTCTACCTCGATTTTGAACGGTCGCTTTGTATGACAGCTATACATATGTTATAGTGGTCCGATCTGAAGTATATGTACGGAGTTTATAACCTTGCCTTGCATAATATTGAGTGCCAAATTTTGTGAAGATATCTCCTTAACTAAAAAAGTATTCCGTACAAGGAATTATTTCTAACCGATCCATTTGTATGGCAGCTAAACGTTATAGTGGTCCGATCTAAACTATATGTTCGGAGAATGAATGAGAATCTTGGATAAAAATGTATGCTAAATTTCGTGAAGATATCTTGTCAAATAAAAAAGTTCTTTCCACAAAAACTTGATTTTGATCGGTCAGTTTGTATGGCAGCCTTATGTTATAGTAGTCCGATTCAAACAAAATCTTTGGAGATTGTAGGTCTATTTCATACAATAATTCATGCGAAATTTCGTGAAGATATCTCATTAAATAAGGAGATTTTTCATGGAAAAACTTTATTTTGATCTATCAGTTTGTTTGACAGCTGTGTACTATAGTGGGCCGATATCGGCACTTTTGATAAATTAGCAGGTTCTTGTAGGGAAAATCACGTGTGCAAAATTTCAGGTCGAAATTTCAAAAGCGTAGTGTAAAAAGTATTTAATTTAATATCCCGAAAAAAATATAGTAGCTGCCAACGGGATCCCACTAATGAACAAAATAGCACTCTATAAACATATGCGCATATACTTCCACACATTGGTATAAGTATAAAATTTTATTATCATATGATTAAATATTTGCACCGGAATTTATTGTGTGTTGGGCGGCGCACCGCAGCAGCGGGAGCAGAGATTTAATCACAACAACAAACATGCATTATATGAAAATTGTTTGTTTGCGTGTTTGTTGTTGCTTGTGGCGCTGCTTGTTAGCGCAAGTAGCAACAATGTGACGAAATAATTTGTAGGCCTCACTTAAAGCTTACAATGGACCCACCACCACGAATGCTAGCAATATAAATTGTAAAAGTCACCTGACATTCTGTGGGAAATTGAATAAATTCTCGTTGCAAGGACACATTTTGTTGCAACTATTTCCGTACTTCGCTCTCATTTACTTTTTTTTCTTCTTCTGCTACTTTAGCATCCTTTTAATGGCTGTTTGGTTCGTAAAGGCAAAGCAAATTGCCGAAAAAGCGGCTTCTGTTATTTGAGCTTGGCAGCATTATGATGATGATGTTGTTGTTATTTTTATGATGCTGAGGAATGATTTATAGACATACTTTTGTATCATATTGCTTTTGAGATAGTAAAAATATATGAGTGTGTAATTGGACGGACTTTTATGACGAATGCCAAACGCTCAAAAGAGGTTGGGAATATGCGAAGACAGACTTTTTAAGGGACTTGAACTAAAAGGACTGGATGGATAGTGATGACAACTTTTGATCGGAAATAAATTAGAATTCGTTTTAATAGATCACATGGGAACGACTCCCCGAAGGCATGACTTTTCGCTCAATCTTCCAAGTTTTACCAGAATACTGTGAGTTTTTTGCAGACAGACCTGCTCAGAAAGACGTGTTACAGCATGATACGTTACAATGATCTCCAAAACAGCTTACAAAAAAATCGATTATGACTGGCATTAATACCATTTTGACCGTCATAAAACATTTGATCAAACTTGAACCGGACTACAAAAAAAAAACCGGTTTCACCTATTTTAATACACATCTTTATTGAGGACTTCAAAGTAAGCCTGATTAGCCAGACTGTAGGATTGGGGCGTTTCCAAGCCGATTTGAGGCAATTGTGGACCAAAAAGCATAATATCAGTCAATATCAGAGATATCTCTATATGTAGCTCGTTTGGAAAACTTTTTTATTTGAGAAATAATATTCACGAAATTCAGCACAGCGTATTGCCCAAGACAAGGCTACTGTAACATATAGCTGTCATACAAATTGATCGATTAATTACTAGTCCTTGTATGAACAGTTTTTTATTTGGGAATATATCTTCACTAAATTTGGCACGTAATATGTTCTAATATAGCGCTACAAGCACTGAAGAAATTGTGACAATCGGACCACTACAACATATAGCTGCCATACAAACTGACTGATCAATTTCACGTTCTTGTACGGAAAACTTTTTTATTTGAAAATATATCTTCAAGAAATGTAGTACGTCTTATAAGCCAAGACAATGCTACAATCTCTGAAGAAAATGTTTGGATTGGTCAACTATAAGATATAGCTGTCATACAACTTGAGCGATTAAAATCAAGAAAAAGATTTTTTTAAATCGTTTTGTGATAGACATTTTACCAAAATCTGGCGCTTCCACTAACAACGTTTTCTATTTAAGCCTTATTTCTGTCAATATAACACCTCAATATGTAAGATAATGAAACTACTGAGTATGACATGGCGTATGCGTAACATACTTCATATAAATTTTGTATGGAAGATGAAAAGTTATATTCCTACACAAAAATTACTAATTTTTAAATTGACACCAGCTGAAATATAATAAATATGTATATGCAAGTAAAATTTATACTAACCAAAGATAAAAAACTTCTTAATATAAATAATGAAAGAAAATAAACAAGCCAAGATACAAAATCAAACAACAAATTTCCATTAGTGAAACACTCAATTAACATTTCGCCGGCAAAGCATTCCAATTTAAGTGGCAAATGTTTATGCATGACAACCCTGCCTTTGCCGCTCTCCGAACAGCGCGGCGCCTAAGCAAACAGATAGCAATTGAAATAAGCGGCATGCTTTCAGGCGTTTGTACCAGTCGTCAGCATATGTGAATGTGCACATCTGCACTGAAACACTAATTTCCATGCAAATGTGTCAGTGTGCATGTGTTTGTGCTGATTTTTATTTACTTACGTTAAATCGATGTCCTTGTCTTCTGCAGGCGACCTTAAAAACTAAAGGTAAACAAACGAACACACAAGCTGGCGGCGTAACTTATTCTGTGTATGTTTGCGTGAGTTCACTATGTGTATTGACGTTGCCGGTACAAGAAGATAATAAAAAGCATATGACGATAGTAACGGTAAATAAATGCAGTCGACGACTTTTAGTAGTCATTAAAGTAAAACAAATGAGAAAGTGGCAATTAAAATTAAGTTCAAATAGTAAACAAATAACAATAAAATGATTAGCTTATTTATGATTATATTTTTAGAAGCAGTATTTTAGTCACTTAACTCGACTTTCCTCAGGAAACTAGCTCCAAATATGCTCTTGTATTTGACTGCCATTTCGGAATGAGTAAAAAGTTGGGATTTTGTCTGCGAGTCTGCGTTCTGCGAGTACGAATTCCTTTAGATAGACTTTCAAAACCCTTGTAGAGTATTACCGAAACTCTTTCGCTGTTCCCTGGTTTCACTGTATTTCAATTCAGTTAAATACTTTAGCGAATGCGACAACTACTTATTGGAAAAATCAAAATGTTGCGTTTTTGTGCCTCAAGTTTGGAAGCTCACATTGTTCTAAATATTTAAGCAAACAAGAACACATGTTAACTTCGATTGTCTCGAAGCTATATTGTCCTTTACAACTAAAAAGGTTTTCCATGCAAAAACTTGATTTCGATTGTTCAGTTTGTACGGCAGCCATGTGCTATTGTGGTCCGATCTAAAAAAAAAATTTTCTTCTTTACTGGCTTTTCTTCTTTACTGGACATGGATTATATCCGAGTTAACAGCATTGCGCCAGTCTTTACTTCTTTTCGCCACGTGGCGCCAATTGGATATTCCAAGCGAAGCCAGATCCTTCTTCACTTGGTACTTCCAACAGGTACTGCGTCGAATACTTTCAGAGATTTTGGACTTGCTTAGCGTCAGTTTACACAATCTCACGGTAGTTGTAGTAGTCTGCCTTTTTTGTGGACTGGGCAAAGTTCATTGAAATTCCAATCATTGGACATGCTTTCGTCTATTCGTTCGTATTCTGCAAAGAAGCTGATACATGCTCCTCATCAGTTCTTCAGCGCAGTATCAGCACAGTTCGTTCCGCTGCTTTGTTGTTTATGAGACGGGCAATTGCTAATCGAACTTCTTTATAGTCGGCCAATGGAACGTCTGATCCATCATCGGATTAACCATCTCCTGGCGCTATGCCTTCACTGCCATTCAGCAGGTTCCTTCCATAATTTCAGTCAGTCTGGGCATCTGTCACTAGATCACCTCTGAGGCTTCTAGCAGAGTCTATCTTCGGAGTTGTGGCCTTACCTAAGATAATTATCTATAAAAAATTTCGTGAAGACAACTTATCAAATAAAAATAAAAAGGGAAAGTTTATATGGTAGTAATAACTAAAAAAATGTACAGATATTTTAAGATTCCTTTGGATAATATTCTACTTTAAATTTCGTAAATATATCTCGTAAATTAAAAAAGTTTGTCATACAAAGATTTGACTTTGGTCGAACAGTTTTTATAGCAGTTTTATGCTATAGTAGCTCGATATCGGTGGTTCGAGCAAATAATCAGTTTCTTGGGGGGGAAAAGGATGTGTTGAGAATTTCAGATCGATATCTCAAAAAATGAGAAACTACTTCCGTTACATATAGATGAACGGGCAGACGGTTGTGGCTAAATCCATTCAACTCATCACGCTGATCATGTACTTATGAATAAACTTAAAAAAGTCTCCGACATACATATTCTTTTAGTTGCTACAGACTTCGTGACAAACTTTCGCCTTCAAAATACCTACATGACGTATGAGCAACATTTCACTCAAATTGTTGTTGTGAGTTATTATACTTTAAGCATTGCTACAAATTTTCTTTTGCCTGATTCAAAAAAATGCTCGTTTAGAAAAAAAAAAACAACAACAACAAAAATCATGTAAGAAAGGCGAAAGAATAAAACAAAAAGTCTCGATCTCTCTTTCGCTTCGCCGATCAGCTTCGTTAATACAGCTACAGTGTCTCGCGATTGTCCACACTCAAAAGACAAAAGCAGCCACGATCAGCTGTGTGACAGTTGCATGCCAAGTGCTTTGCGCGCCACTTCGCAGAATTTAGCCAGATTTTCGAATGATCATTCGCGTACAAGCCATTGGTCGTTTGGGCATTTCATACGAACGACCAGACATAGCGGACACAAGTGCGCAGGCAGACGTGTATTTATAAAATAGAATTTCAAGGTGCACGCACGCGAGTGTCAATGGCAGACCTTTGACAAAGTCGGTGACGCGCGACATTTTCACTCGTTCCTCGTGCGTATACACACATATATACACACGCTGTTGGTGTGTGCTGTGCGCTGGGCACAATTGTTTTAATGATACTTCGCTTGATTTAGTTACTGTATATGCTGCGGAAGTGTTGTGAAAAAATTTGGCGAAACTAGTGAATTCAGTATGTGTTGTGTATGCATGAGTGCAGAATTTCAAGTGACGTTTGACAAATTTATGTGATTTTTGGGAAAACAAGTTATAAATCTGCATAAATGTGTTTGCAAGTCTTAAAAATAGCATTTAATTGCATAATACGGAAATAAAATTCATTAACAGCAACAACTATACAAGCAGATAATTGCATAAATGTCGACGATTCTTCGCGTGTGGCATAGTAATAAACGAGAAAGGGCGAAAAACCACTAAGTTGCAACAACAAATCCCATTAGTTTAGCACTGTAGTTGAGATTTGACTATTGACTACTCTTATCCAACGCCCTCCACATCCGTCCGCCTGTTTCATATTGAACAAAATTTGATTTATGTATAACTATCTCTCTGTATGTATATGATATGTGTTTGTTAAGTCATTAAGAAACAAAAACAACAACATAAAACAACAACAAAAATAGCATCAATAATTTGCATGTGATATATTTAGGCACAATAATATACAAATTAACAAGCAATAACAATATTTAAATTATCAATTTGGTTATATATGTTGTGAATGTGTATGCAATAAAAAAAATTATGAGTTTTATATTATAAAAAAAATATATATTATAAAATTTATAAAAAATAATTATTAAATTAAATATATCTTAAAAAAAAAATTAAATAAATAATTTTAAAATAAATATGTTCACAGATAGTAGAGTTTCCTTTGACAATAATCCATGCCAAATTTCGAGAAGATATTTCGCCAAATGAAAGAATTTTTCATACCAGCACTTGATTCGAATCGTTCAGTTTGTATGACAGCTATATGCTACAGTTAACCGATCTCATCTAAATGTTCGGAGATTATAGCTCTGCTTTGGATAGTAATTTGTGTTGAATTTAGTGAAAACATATTTGCAAATAAAAAAGTTTCCATTAGAGGAGCTTTATTTTTCTCGGTTAGTTTTTACGACAACTATATGCAACAGTTATCCGATTTAAACAATATATTCGCATATTCGCATATTCGCAGATAGTAGAGTTTCCTTTGGCAATAATCAGTGCTAAATTTTGTGAAGATATCTCGCCAAATAAAGGAGTTTTCCATACCAGCACTTGATTCGAGTCGTTCAATTTGTATGACAGCTACATATATGCTGTAGTGAGCCGCTCACAACCAATTCTTCACAGATTGTTCCAATGTGTTAGGCTATAATCCATGTTAAATTTAGTGAAGATATCTCGCTAAATGAAAGAGCTTCATTCATCGTTCAGTTTGTATGGCAGCTATATGCTATAGTCGTCTGATTTAAGTGGTTCCGAAAAATGAGAATCTTTTTGTGTAGAAAAGAATACGGCCAACGGACATGGCTAAATAGATTTTGTTCACCACGCTGATCATTTAGTTATATATTTTACAAGGTATTAGACGTTTACTTCTGACTGTTACAAACATCGTGGCAAACTTAATATAGCCTGTTGTGATTTTTATTTAGATCGTTAGGAGGGTTTAAAATGTCTTCGCAACATGTAGACATTCTACGTGAGTGTTGTACCCACTAAGACACCACGCTAAGATTGATCCTTTAACGCTTTTGGAGCCAGCATCAAGCTTTTTGTCTCATCTTCTATTAATTCGAAGTATCGGGGACCGGAGAGTTTGCTTCCATATCTCTTTCTGGTTCCCATTTTTTCTACTAGATTTCCGTATAGAGTTATCGAAACTTGTTTTCTTCCATCGTCGGCAGTTAAAAAAGGTATGGTTTACCTTGTCTAGTGGTTCGTCTCCTTAAATACAAGCCTGACCCTCTGTTTTTTCCATGTTGTACAATTACTTTCGGAAATATTCGTAATCATAGAGCATCTCTGTTAAGTAGTAGTTCACCACATATGTTTCCTACAGTGCCATATCTTTTTATCTTCAAATAGTTTGGTGGTCCAGCTTTCTTTGCTCCCCCTATATTTATGGATCTTGTCGGAGTTCGAGCGTTTGCTTACTCGCCTGTTGCCTTCTGTACTTTTAGTCTGTCCTAATGCCATAACCAGAGTGGTCTTCTCGCATTTGCCAGTAGATCTATTGGAATGACGCCACTTGGCACTAGCACTGATTCGATTTATTTTCCACTATTATATAATAGCATTGTGTCCACGGGCAGTTTCCCTCTACAATTATTTGCAAGCGTACCTCAGAACCTCTTATATAACTCTAGGTAGTGACATGGTTACATTGGCTGATCAGTGCAGTTTTTTTGGCAGCCAGACTTAGCTCTTGTATATTCAATCATGTTTGTGTTCTCAGCATAACTTTTATTAGTTTGCGTCTGACTATGTCTATACGACAGCGGCGACGTGTCTGCATTACCAACGTGGTTGCAGTCGTCTGGCATTTCGACGTTTAAAGTTCCGTGGTCCAGAGGAGATCTTCTTTCCTTGCGGACTGACACTTCAATCATATTGTGGCCGATTACACCGGCTTACAAACCACACCAAACCGTTGTTTTTTCTAGATGAAATGGCAACTCTGAATCTCTACAGGTCGCCATTCGTCTCACATGAGGCAATTTTGTTTGTTTACTTACTCTTTGTACCAGGAATGGGCCTCAGCGCTGGACAAAATCGGGTTCGAAAATGTAGGACCTTCTTGGAACTTTTCAAAAACCCATAGAGCGAAGCAATGTCTCTCGGAAAGGTCGAGCGGCTTCAGTTCTTGCACAAGCTGTAGTTTGCACGCTTTCAATTTAAGAACTCGATGTAAAATGCGATAAGTCGTATACATCAGTCTGAGTTGCTGTGAACATCGGCGAATCGACTGTCCACAGTCTTCGTGTACACCTTTCAGCTACGTCTGCTATGTTTCTTCAGTGCGTGCTGGACGTGGTCTAATCGATCGAATATTATTCAATAATGAATGCTGCTTCTCAAGATAAGTAGCCCGATTAAGTTAACCATAAGTTGAGTGAAGTGTGCGAAACATATTCTTTACAGAACATGAATTTTCATAATAAAGTTGAAAGATTTGTAAACGTTGTTCGGACGAAAGTCTTTCCATGATGAAATACCAAACAATACTGAAAAAAAAAATATAAGATGACAGTTTGTCACGACTCAGGCGTGATCTGTAAAAAAAAAGGACCTGTATATGGATCAACATTTATTATAATACCAAAGACGTATTTTTGAAGTATTATTTCCTAAAACAATGTGATATGAACTATCGCCCACTGTATCTTGCGAAGGTGTTAATCGATCGGCTCGAAATTTAGCTGATAGTCTTAGAATATGTCCATAAATATAGTGAAATTGTTTGAAAAATCCGCATAAATCTAACACTTTTTTAAAAAATGTAAGCTAAATATCTCATAAATCTTTAAGATTGCTCAAAAATGTATTTTTTTTTTGTTGTTAAAAAATAATTAATTTTTTTTTCAACTTCAAGTTATAAAATACACCTTCTTTCTATTAAAAATGTATTTCATATATTATTTAAATACAAAAGTATGTATGTATGTATGTATATTCACTTATTGGCTCTGCAACGTTCCAACGCGTTGGCATTTCTATTTTGGTCGCAATGCGATTCTCAAGTGCCATTTTCATTTTTATACAATTTTTCATACGCATTTGTAGTMTATACATACATACATACATATGTATGTATCGGACTACATATATATATTTATATTGTATGTTATTTGTTTTTGTTTTCAATTTGTTTTTCGTGACGCTTTCGCTTCATCGTTATTGTATGTGGACGCAAACGAAACATTTTTCAAAAGTAAAAAATTGGAACTCAAACACCTCAATGTTTTGACTGCATTTAAAAGTTCGCTAAATTCGTTAAAATTTTAATTAGCAGACTATATATAGGCTACTGACGTATTAGGTACTAGGTACCACAAATTCGCGCGCATATTAGGTTGTCAAAAAAGTCTTGCGGTACTCTCGCTAGTTGGCGCTGAGAGCGCGTAATTCTAGTTTTATTTGTCGCATCGGGTCATGCTGTACGTACCTTTTTGGAAAGCTCATTTCATACGCTAACTCGTGTTTGATTGATTGTCGTTTCTTTTAAGTCGTTCGGGAGATATAGCGTCGCAAACATAGAGCAAAATACTACGATAAAGGCAAAAATGCATCTCAAGCCGCCAATAAAATTTGTGCAGTTTATGGACCCGATACAGTTTCCATTTCCACCGCACAACGATGGTTTCAACGTTTTCGTTCTGGTGTAGAGGTGGTCGAAGATGCGCCACGCCCCGAAGGCCTGTCGTCGAAAATTGGGATAAAATCGCTGAATTGGTCGAAAGAGACCCGCATTGTAGCAGCCGTAGCATTGGTCAAGAGCTGGGCATGAGTTATCAAAAAAAATTTTATGAACAATTGAAAATTCAATAAAAATACCGCAAGACTTTTTTGACAACCTAATATAATATACAGGAGCAAACATTGTATATATGGGGTCCAACGACAAGAACGACGTGTGATGTTAAAATGAAATCAAGGCTCTCAGTTGGTCAAAATGAGTTCTGTTTTTATGTTTTTTTTATTTTTTTATTTATTTATTTTCTTTTTTTTGTTTTCTGCCGTCGGCCATATGTTCACCTTGCTCCGGGTATGCAACTTCTCCCGGTTACACAGATTTTCGATGTCTCGATGTGTAGCATTTCATATGGTTTTTCAAAAAAAAAGCACTCAAAACCAGTGCGTGAATAAAGAAAAATTCAATAAACTACAACCACGAAATATTTTATGGTTTCAATCCTTTAAGCTCAAGTTCATAAATCAAAATTGTGACACGCTTCTTTTTCCGTTGTCAGCGTCTTTCATAAATTTTTTTTATGCGCCACAAAACCGCAAAACCCAATTTCAATACTACAAAAGCCTTGATCTGCATAAATCATGGTATTCTTTGTTTACTTGTTGATAAGCACCAACAACTGATTGAAATGCACACATCCAACGGACTTTTTTGGTCTGAAACTGTTTGCGCGCGTCAATGCATACATGTGTATGCACTTGGGTAAAAACCCTGTAGGAAATATTTTACACAAAGAAGAAAAAAGGTTTGGGAAAAGATGGAAGCAAATAATATTATCATATGTTGCATCATACTATCGTATATTGTTGAGTTGAAGTAGTTAATTATGGTTCGCTCGAAAGTGCGAAAGCTACTAATCTTTTCCCTACAGTTTTAAATTTGCTAAAAGCTTGTTGAGCTAATGATATACCGATTTAAAGCCGGGTTTAAGCGATTTTTAAATGCATTTCATAATTTTTGGTCAATTATTCTTAATCTAATATAAACAAGTCGCCCAATACATTCTCTTTTTTAAAGTGTTTATGTCTTTTTCGTCTATTTTGGAAATAACAATGACACCAATTTTGAACCCCGGCGAAGTCGATCAGCCTCATTCCATTTGGAAATGTTTCAACTTGGCCGACCGTAATGCCAAAAATATCTTTTTTGACCACTCGTCTCAGTCCTTTGCCGTCTATCACACTTTTTGGACGACAGTGATGCCAGTCTTTACTCTAACGAGAACATCAACCAGCGCGTAAGCGTTATCATCCCAATTAAGGGACCGAAAAATTCAAGTAGATACGTTTTAAAACGGTTAGTCTCCCATCCGAGTGTGTTGTTTTCTTTTCATCAGGGGCGTTTTTTACATGGCGGGGCCCAAACCCAGCGGACAGCCTTAAGGCGGGATGGTTTGCCTTCTCACTTTAGCTCGCCTTCAAACAGATATTCTTTGGCTACCAAGAGGATACTTGGTCCGGAAGTCATGAGCTGCCTGAGCCACATGTAAAAGAATCGTCGTTCTGGCCACTCACAAGTGAATGGCAATCAGAGAACTTTTCTCACTTGCGTGAACTTTTACACATGACTCCATTCTTCATACTTGGATTATTTCTGAATTTTATTTCGAGGTCGTTTTTAGAGATTTTCAGAGAACTTTCCTCACTTGCGTGAACTTTAACACATGACTCCATTCTTCATAATTGGATTATTTCTAAATTTTATTTCGAGGTCGTTTTTAGAGATTTTCGCAAACTAAAAGAATACGTATTTTTTTACTTAAGCTTAAATGGTCCTCCTACCCATTAAGTGGTATTCTTGTAGCTGCAGTGATATAGAATATTCACCAAAAGTTAACTCACTCTGCTTTAAGGAATTTTTCTTTGTTAGACCAAAAACAATTCATTGCTATGCATTTTTCCTACAGGGTGTTTATATGAGTAGACACTTGTGGGCGTTTGCAGGACTTTCAGACTGCTTTCTGGGCGGTGAACCAACATTTACATGTTGCTAGTAATTAAAATGGATTGCGTTACACTACTCAAAACATAACATTAGATATAAATCTCGAGTGGCAACACTAGTCTCATGAAAAAACCATATTAAAATTGAGTATAGGTAGGAATTAAAGTAACTGGGTAGAAACAAAAAACCAATTAGAAACAAATAACATTGTATAATTGCGGGGTGAACAGGCGCAAGCAGTAATTTATCGCAAATATACACGCGTGTTAAGATTGCGTGACTGCAGGCGCACCGCCGACGCCGCTCAAATGTGCCAATTTGTTATTTCCTCTCTAACATTACCGTTAAAGCGGAAATTTGCTATATCCGCCGCGGGCTAAATATTGATTGTAATTGAGTGTGAGTATGAGAGCAAGTGAGTGGTTGGTGAGTTTGACTGTGGGAGTGTGGGAGAGTTCTTTTCAGTGGGTGTGGGGGAGAATTATTCTGAGTGGAAGGGAGGGAGAGTGATTCTGAGTGGAAGTGAGTGAGTGGAAAGGAAGCGAATGGGCTACATGAAAGAACGCCTGAGTGAAAACGCAGTGAGAGTCAAGTAGTGCTGGGAGCGCTGGTATTCTATCGTAAATTTTTGTGGTTTTAGCGTGCGTTTGCCGCGCTTGTGATTAATGGTGCCTAGTGCGCCCACTTGCCGGTCTTTTGTATGTACTTTTACTCTGCTATTGTTGTTGTATATAGTCTGTCAGACAGTGCACACTTTACAATATGCGCGCTTTGGTTTTTTATTTACTTTTCCCAAGCGTTCACGTAAAGTTTTGCGCCATGCATCAAGCTGCTGTTGGTCGCCGTGTCACTCTGCGCTCCCTATCTACCATTCGTCTACTTCGCCACGTGCGCATTTGATGGCAACAGTTAGCGCGCAGAGTAGCTGCAATGCGAATTTGACGCTGTGGGCAATTTTCGGTCACCGCCATTGTTGTTGGGACTATAGAAAATGAGCAGCATTTGTGTGGAATATAATTGGCTGCTATTATTTGAGGATTTTTGTCGACTTAGTTTGGCTGAATTTTGCGTGAAATATAATTTGAGTGAATAGGGTTGCCATATTCAATAAAAAAATAAAAAAAATTACTTATTAGGGTTGCCATCTTTATTAAAAAATACAATAAAATTTAGTTTTAAGTAAAATAATAATAAAAGTAATGAAATACAGTCAACAAATTTGCATTTACCGTTAACTTTTGCTACAAATCAACAAAACAACAATAACAAGAAGAAATACCCCAAAAGCTGCAGTATTTACAAAACTGAAAAATTGTCCGTGAACGGCAACAACAGCTAAACATAAAAATAACAACAAGTACAACAACTATATTATTGCCATAACTTAACAACAATAGCAACAGTACGCACCGAAAATATTAAGCATACAAACTTAGGTTGCTCATACGACACGTCACACATAAGCAATTACAACCACAACAACAATAGTGCGTTTACAAAAACACTAACCCACACATAAAAACTTGGTATATCAAAAAATACAAAAACAAAAATAACAAAAACAAAATATACAAATACAAAATCAAAATAGTAAAAGTCAACAACAAAAACCACTCAAAATGAATTTAATGTTTCGCAAGCATTTTCGCGAAGGTGGAGGTGGAAAGTCCGGTGGCGGCGGCAGTAAGCTGCAACCGAAGGCTAATCGCACGAAACGCTCACGCGACATGGGCGCCCAACAGGAGGATATCCATTATCGGACGCATTTATTCTTTGCACCCAGTCGCCCTGGCATGGATGTGGGGGAAGGTAGGCGTATGCATAAATGTTGTTGTTAGCTGCACCATTCTGCAATAAGTCGCTTGTTTTCAAATTACAACAAAAATAAACACTAAATAATTGGAAATCAAAAACAACTTATCAAAACACAAAATTCATAAAAATTGTTAGTTTCAAAAAACAAAAATTTCAACAAAAAAAAATCACAAAAAAAAATATTTTTTTTTTTATTTTCGAAATTTTTCAAAATTAATGATTGGCAAACGTGTTAAATCCCTTAGATCAAAACAATGTTTTCCAACGTTCAGACGACACAATTAACTCGACTCATACACTGACGCACCCGTAGTGGTTTGGGTTCGCTCGCGCGTCGCTAAATTGCACCGTTTTCATAATATTTTCGTTTTGCGTTTTTTATTTTTCTTTATTTTCCATCCTCTATGTGTGTCAAGCATTCTCATTTAATGCCCAAAAAATTAACATTTCGCATAAAATTGCATAGTAGCTATACTAATCCGTTAGTTTTAATAAAAGTGGTCTTTGGTTAGTGGTTTAATAAAATCTATTTTCATTAAGAATATTATAACTTTTCTGCCATTTCTGATATCATTTTTTCCATCGCGGTTTCTGGTAGAGGATTAGATTGGCTAAAAAAACTGCCCTAGTGGAATATTTTTTAGTTAAAAAAATCGAATACTTACAGTTTTGAAATGTGGAGTATGATATGGTTTTTGAAAGCAGGAGTCCCCAGCAAGAAGCTATTAAATTTTAGCACATCTATCTTAGCCTTTGTTATAGCTTAACTCGACACTGGATTCTATTTAACTGTCTTGATCGTCAATCCCTAAAAGTCGGTCTCTGCTTGATTCCACGTGAAAGCTGGAAGTTAAACAAAGCTAAAAAATTAAAGCTCCGAATGCTCACCGCGGCCCAGTAGAGTATAAAATATACGAGACTGAAGCGTCAATTGAAAATAATAATAATATTAGGTCGTAAAAATTACTCCGCCTTTTAAGTACGCATTCTTTTGCACAGTAGATGGCGCTGGCGCCCATGTATCCGACAAAAATCACCATATGTTGAGCATTATGAATAAATTTGAAATTGTCTACGTTTGATATAAAACTAAAACCACAGCTTAAATCAAAAATATATTTATTTTGTGGTTAAGTAAAAAATAATTTAAATTTTCGTGTAAAAATATTTTAGAAGCACATCTCTCTCTCTCTGATTAGTATGATATTAATCACGCCAATCATCTATATACGCTTTATAGGTCCACCAGCGTTTCCTTCTGGTTGAAGGAGTCAAAAAATTATAAGAAACCACGTAAAGATATTATAAGACGATATTTAGTTAACAGTTATAATTATAACAATCTAGTCTACTAGTTTTTCTCATTTCATAAACCCATAAATAATGACAAAAATAAGCATTTATGATTATAACAGCCTAAGCAAGCTCCTCAAGAGAGCTGTAGAGACTTTAGACATACCATTCAACTAGAGGAGGTAATCGTAACGGACACATATTGTTTTTATCTAGCTAAGCCTTATCAACTTTGCGAGATTCCTTAAAAATAGTTTTCTGTCACTATAACAACAATAACAGTTTATATTTCTAAAACAAAAAAATTAAAATCAATCGCGATATGCGAACCTCTGGGATTTCCAGTATGGAAAGAAATATTGAAATTGAAAAAAAAAAAATGTTCATTACTTCGGCCATAAATGGTTGATTTTTAAAAAGGCCCTGCCATCGGATCAGTACTACCTAGAGAAAAAGGGTAGTGAGTTAGAATTGATTACGATAACCTTAAACAATTAATGACTTTAATAAATCTATATTGTTTTAATCGGACGTTATTCTTTCCTATTATCATAATAGGAAATTTGCCTTTAACTTAAAATTAATATGAGTTAACTTAAGAGAAATGCTGGAACACCTTTTAAGCCTTTGTTCAGCACTATCTAGAACTCGACTGAAGTACCTAGCTTCGGAGTTCAAAGGACACGACGAAGTTTCAAACGTAGAAATCAAGTCGTTCTTAAAGTTCGCAAAAAACGTTGACGTAAGACAAACTTACTAAGGACCAGTAGGTCTATGTATAACGCGATAGACGCCCGGTATAACCTAACATAAAATTTCATTTTATAGACTAACTTATCACGACTGAGGAGGTAAACTGATGACTGACTGATCAAATTTCAATCTAAATTCTTGAATAGACTGTGATTTCTTTTCTACCAACCAATCAAAGAGTGTTACGTTATCAATAGTATTGATCATTTCGAACTTTTTTTAAATCAAATCATAAAACCATTATGAGCCTGATCTTGAGGCAAATTTATAGAATTGTCTGAACATATACATATGTGAAGGAAAATTTGCAATTTAGTTAATTAATCAATATAAATTGATTTACAGTGAAACGCTGTACAAAAGGACAATCTATAATTGAGTTAATTAAGACAGAATTAACTCAATTAATTTCACTGAAAATAAAGGAAATTTGGGATATAATTGATTTACAGTAAACGGTTGTAAAAAAGGAAATTTTATAATTGAGTTAATTAATTGACACAATTATGTAAATTGACTTATTTAAATTAACTGAATAAGTGAAGGAAATTGAATCGATATAATTAATACCTACATTTAGTTCAGTAATTAAGCTTAATTGAGTCAACGTAATTGACACAATTAGGAAAATTTACTCAATTTAGGTGTCAACTCAATTAATATATTAGTTCCGTAAAGTTAATTGCGTCAAATAAGATAAATGAGTCAATTAAGATAATGCCTCAATTAAGCTAATAGTCGGTATTTATTGTATATAAATTTTACACGGTTTTTGTAATTAATTCACTAACACAAACACACACGCATATGTAGTTTTTACACTTGAGTACGTTAAAGGCATCACTAAACTACATACTTACAAACATACACGTACTAAAAATCAAAAAGTACACAAAAAACACAAAAAATACCAAACCAAATTCAGTAAATGCCAACAACAACAAACATCCTTTAAATCAACAGAACTCATTGCAGAAAGGTGCACTGCCTTATCGGGTGCGTGCACACCGTTATCGACCACCACAACATCACTTTCACTTCCACCTCAGCCATATGAAGTGGACACACCGCAGCCCCTAGTCGATCGCAAGCCGTCCATATCTCTATTAAGATGGAATAATAGTGTTAGAATACGGAATGGTCAGGTTGCTACGGTACTATCGAATGCAGCAGCAACAACAACGGCGCGTTTTCAAGCTGACAGGCAAGGTTTGAATTTCCGTTTCCTCTCTAATACGACTGACAAAATTTAAAAAAAAAAAAAAAAACACACACACACACACAACAGCAACAATAATAATAATCATAACGAAAATAAAAGTATAATGCAATTAAATTTAAAAAAAAATCTACCAAAAGCCATTGCTGCAAAACTAATTCTTTAGCGTAAAAAATTTAAATTAAAAACTTATTTGAAAATTTGTATTAATATGTGTTATAGCGCCCATTCTTTAAATAAATAGACAAACTTCTATTTCCACTACAACTCCTACAATCTCCCACCCATCCACACGCCTATCATTACCGTACCTCATCCAATGTCTAACATTGCCTTGAAAGCTGGAGAAGCAGATTTTAGCGTAAAATATTACACACAGAGGAACAATGGCCAATAAAAGTACATTTGAGAGAAATTCTATTTCCTTAAGCACTAAAGTTGTTTTTGTAAATTTCGCGTAATGCAATAAAGTGACCTTGAACTTATTTCTTTCCGCGAAATTTGACTTTGAAGTTGTTTATCAACTACTTAAATGCTGAAATGAGTTTTTTTTTCATAAAGCTTCGTGTCCTTGTGGTTTCGTAACGGAAACGTCTATAAATATTTAAGTTTTTGTCAATGTGGTTAACGGTCGGTGATTCTGCGATGTGTTGTTTTGTCGATTTATTGTCTATTGAAAACAATTTTATTAAAACTATAACGATTTCGAAGCTTTTTAACGGTACATTTTGGTTTCATGTTTCCCCTGTGCTGCAAAAAAATAGCTGAAAAAATTATTTCAATTAATTAACTAGAAATGATTAATATATAAGCTAAAAAATACTGAAAGCTCATTTATAAAACTCAAAATTAATTTTACTCGAGCTTTTTTAGCCTGATCAAAAGCTTTTTTAGAAACTCAAATTTATATTCATTTGAGCTCTTTTAACCTGATCGAAAGCTATTTCTGAAGCTCAAAATTAATTTTAGCTGAGCTTTTTTAACCTAATCGAAAGCTCGGCGTACTTCGAATGAATATAGTAAAAGTTTTGCATTAAATTTCATCTTAACCTAAAAGAAAGCTGTTTCTGAAACTCAAAATTAGTTTTACCCGAGCTTTTTTAACCTAATCTAAAGCTCGGCGCGCTTCCTGTAAATCCTTTAAAAGCTTTTGACCAAATTTGATCTCAAACAGAAAGTAAATATGCAAAGTATTGCTGTTAAATAAATTTTCAGCACAAAAATATATAAAAATGACCACTAAAAACTCTCAACAGACAGTCATATAAATTATATGCAACTGCTTATATCAAAAAGAGTATACCTGCTATCTCTAAACACTACTTAAAGCTCAAAGACTGTCTATTGTAGTCAAAATAATACTAACCAACAAAGTTTTTAAAACAGTAAAAGCACCAGCAGCAGTTTAAAAAGCTCTAAGCAGCTTATCAGCTCATAAATCATATGTGTAAGTCCTTTAACAGTGGAAGCTTTCTATACTACTGCGTTCAATTTAATTTGAAAATGTATTAAATCTGAAAAAAAAACGACAAAGCTTTGTCAAATTTAAAACTAAAAGCTTCATAAAGCTTTATGCTAAGTAACCAACATTTTTGTATTAATTTTTTTTGCTACTCTCAAACTAATTAAAATATTTACAAAAACAAACAATAATTTGTTAACAAACAAATTTTTCCAGTTGGTTACGACAATGCGGCCGGCACATCGGCTGCTGTGCGCTCGGAACCGATTTCATTATCAGCGCTGGATCGCGATTGCTTTATTATACCGGTACACAGTGTCGATCGTTTTCTGCCAGCTGGTATACCGGTAAGTGGGCTGCGCATAAATATACAGTTACAGTCATAAAGTCAACAAATTTCTTGCAGCTACCCGCCCCCTCTGCTGATGGCAAAACTAACAGCCCACTTAGCATACTAGAGGTGTCCGATCCGAAATTATGCATACTCGTACATTTAATGAGTCCTTTGGAGCCGATTGATCCAATGCTGGAGTCACCGCTGTCACATCCATTGCTGAAACAACGCGCCGTTGCGGCCGAGCTCGTCTCCGAGGTGCAACAGGCAAATACGGCGGTGGGTGGCATGCTACTGGCCAACATGGAGAAGAATGGTAGGTTGACCGTACCGTGTAAAATGTAGAGCAGTGAAAAAAATTTGTTTCTATTTGCTTTACAGCGGATTTTCCATTTATATCGTACTATTTAATCAATACTACACAAACGGATCCATCGCACTTTTACTCGGGCATACGCGTCTCATCACTATCGAAATTCGAGCCGAAATCACTAAAGTGAGTATTAAGAGATTGTAGTTTAGGGATCCCTGTCATCATAAAACATTTTATAAAATATCGCAACCATTCGTTAAGTTGTTAAGAGTGATTTTAGCTTTCTTTAGCCACGAAGATGATTTTCAGGATCTTCAGTTCTCAACTCTTTGGTGTATTCGCCGTCGGCTTTATGTAGTGAGTAAAGAAGTGTATTATCACTAAGCAGTTTTAGGGTTCAGAAAGATTTTCGTAGTATAGGTAGGTTCCGCAGGTATCGGTAAGTCCTTGGGTTTATTTTTGGTATGGAAAAACTCTGACAAAATCTTTTCGCCACTCTAAAACCACTGCACTCCTAAAATCCATTTCAAATGACACGGTCAACTAAAAACGTTCCTGGTCGAAACGTGGCGGGCTGATGTAAACGTTGGTCCAGACAGGATCGACGGTTTGCTAGGTGTTTGGTGGGATTGGCAGAGAATCATCTATCGTGAGCTGTACACCGTTATAGACAACAACTATCGTTGTATTTTTACGTGAGCATCTGCCGACGACAGACTTACCCCACGGTGCTTAAAGCACATAGATCAAAATATTGCGTTGATCAGAGCCCCAAAAAATACTTGTTTTTTGCATTATTTGGACTATCAAAACAGCCAGCTTTAGTTTGRATGGATGGATTTGTGATTCCATCCGGACAGCGCCAAACGACACACATCGATAGCGACTCGGCAGAAGTTCTGCGAGCTTGATCCAGCGATTCCGAGTTGGCCTTTTGTGAAAAGTTCGCTCGAAGAGAAGCTAATGCAAACATAAATTGTCGGTATCAGAGTATTGTGGCCTACCAGCGACAGTTTCAAATTCTACTTAGAGAGACTTGAGTTATTTGCAGGGAACATTTTCTGCCTGCAACCTAACCTAACCTTTATTTTCAGAAATATTAAGAAATTACGGGAGAACTATTTATTCACATTTTCGCTACCCTTATCAACTTTAGTTATCTTTAGATATATGTATATATGTATATGTATATATGTATAAATATATACATAAGTACCTTGTTAAAAATAATCCATCAATATTGGCATTGTAACAAAAGCTCATTGTGTTCCACTTGTGCTTTGTTGTAAGCCATTTTTTTCCAATGATTGTTTACATATAACCTTCTCATGTTTACCCACACCTACAATAATACTTTTAGAGAGTTTCAATATTTCATTATTTTCACTTATACAACTAGATATACTGCCGCTCATACCTTGGACTTGTATAGCGAAGTGGCTGCCATTTGCCGTCCGCCATTGGTATTGGCACCCAATGAAAGTGGTAGCTTCAAGAAGACACAGACGCCAGCAACAGGCTACATAATCAGCGTGTTTAAGGTATACATGTACCGTTAGATGTAGCTATATATATCTATAAATGCAACTTGCTATTTAACGTGCTTGAGTCTAGTTAAATATTTATATGAGTTAGCTGTCAAAGCACTGTCAGAGTAGCAACCCTGCAGGAAAAAATTGGAGACGATAATGGCAACTCAAAAGTAATGCTGTTTAGCCGTACTTATACGGAAAGCTGGTAGAAATATAATATTCTATACTATTACTGCTCAAGGAAATTCTTTCAAAGCACTTCTTATGAATGGAACTCTGTAAAATAATAAACGCAGTCAACGGATTTAAAGCCTTACGAGATCTACTACAAATACGTCTCCAAAATTTTGAAATATCCACTTAGCCAGAACTCGTTCTCTTCATATAACTTCTTAGCAAATGGTAAAATGATCCCCAGACAAGGGTTGAAACTTCATACTAAGAAAATTTCCCATATTAAGAAGTTTCCCGGACCAACTTTAGCCACCAAACTGTCGCCGTTATGCTATTCTTGCCTTTAATTGGTTTTTTCTCTCTTCCTCTTCATATAACTCTTTAGAAAATGGGATAATGACGCATACCCTAGGGGTGAAACACATCTTCTTTCTTCTTCTTACTGGCGTAGACACAGCTTATGCGTTTATAGCTGGAGTTAACAACAGCACGCCAGTCGTTTCTTCTTTTCGCTACGTGGCGGCAATTGGATATTCCAAGCGAAACAGCTTCCCTGCGCTGGGCTTAGGACGCGTCACGTCAATAACTGTATCAATGAAAACTAATCGATAGCCTCGAGTTGAAACATCATATTATGAAAATTTCCCAAGGCAAGAAGTTTTTCGGGTCAGCCAAAGCAAACTGCCTTCAAGTGAACTTTTCTGCATGGTATACTCAATAGTGTACTATTCCTGTATCTAGAGAGAAAATGGAATTTTAAATAACTAATAAAGGGTTAATATTAGCATGTTGTAGACATTGGAGAAGACAGTGTAGAATTAATATTGCTTTGCATAATTTTTTGCACTCAAGTGTATGAAATATTTAATTGCAATGAATACTGTATATTCACTTAGGTTTTTGAAGGCGATGACGGTGAACGTTTCGAGAAGAATTGGCTGTACTGGACGGGAGCGCGTATGCTATATCGGTAAGTGGAGGTTGAATAGCTAGATAGGGAAGAGCTTGTGTCAAGCTTATAGTAAAATGCATTGAATAAATCAATAATGATTTGAATCTTGAAGAAGTTTATAAGACAACCTACATTAGATCGAGTCAATATTGCATAGCGTGAACCATTTCGAGGTGCCCTAGTTTTTTAAAGTATAAACACAGAAAATTTTAATTTAATTGCGAATGTTTATTGTCCTTCGAAAGAACATCCTTTAGCATGTATTTTTTGAAGATTATCTCTTTCAAATGTTGACCGCGACTATGTCTCACATGGTCCATCTCTTGAAGCCAATTTTTGATGACTAGTTCGAGGATTTTGACTGGTAACTGGCGAGTGACACTTGATGTTTTGGTCCAAAGTCTCAATCGAATTCCCATAGGATTTATTGATGTGACATCATATCGCGATAATGGGCGCTATTGATGGTTACGTTCTCAACGCCATCTTTTATGAAGAAATATGGACCGATGATTCCACCGGCCAAACACCAAACCCAAAGTCGTTCGATACGTCAGTCCGAGTTGCTGCGAACGACACCGAATCGTCTCTGCACGTTCTTCGTTTACACTCTAAGCTATAGTTTCTTCACTGCGTCCTGGACGTGGTCTATTCGGTCGAATATTATCCAATAATGAATGCTGGGTATCAGGATGTGTGATGGTGTTGCGAATAGTACGCTCAGTAGGCTGATGATATTGATCATAAGTTGAACGAAGCGCGCGAAACACATTCTTTACAGAACGTGAATTGAAAAATGTATCTCTACATGGATCACCCGTTACTTTAAAGCGAGCAAATTACAATAACAAACCTTTTGTTTTTTTTAACAAACTCCTGACAAATACTCCTTATTACAGTAGTAAATAATAAGTTTTCTTTCACTTTTCTCTTTCTCTCCCACTGCACAACAGTTATTTGCCACGCGCCGCTGGTCTACGTCGTATTGCTCTACATAAGAGTACCTCGCAGCGTGGCGATAAAATGTATTTGTTGGTGTGCGAATGTGCTGACTTGCTCAAGGATATCTCTTCTGCTGCCTTCTTGATACCCGCACTGCGAGCGCGCCTCTGCGGCTACACGGGACTTTACAAGCCAATACAAGTGTTCTAAGGTTATGAGAAAACATAAAAAACAAACAACAACATTTATCAATAAAACAAAGTAAAATGTGAGTAGGAAAGCAAGAAATGTATATAGACATACATACATACACACGTGTGATAGCTCTAAATTAAGACAAAAGAAGAATTAAAATTGAAAAAAAAAAAAAATAATCCGTATTGAAAATTCAAAGAAAATAAGAATGAAAAACAACAAATTAAAAAAATTGTTGCATTAAATTGAAAATTGTTATTTATTTATAGACCACAGATTTAATAAAGCAAAAAGTACTAGAAATATGAACATGTGGCAAGCTCAAAATTTTAGTAGTTTGTAAAATTGTTAAAAAGTGAAATTAAAAAGAAAACTTATAATAAGAATAAAATAAAAAATAATTAAAAACTTAGTCCACTAAACCGAAAAGAAATAATGTTTTTGAACAATCAGCTTTTAGAATGAAAAGATATGGCAATAAAGTTGGTACAATTTTCGCATGCGAATGAATATTTAGCAAATAAAAAAAAACAGACACACACATACATATACATATATGTATATATGATAAAATCTACGCATGCATCTGCATCTACCTATTTTTGAAACTACTTAAAAAATATAAAAAGAAACAATAATAAATAAAAAATAATAATAAATACATTTATTAGCCAAATTAAGCAATAAAATAAATTAAAATTAAAATAAATGTTCAATATGAATGAATTCTTGCATACATACATACATATGTATGATCTTTTATAACTGCTTCAATACACCGAACAGCATACGTATGCTTATTTGAATTGTCGTTAGTAATAATATGGCAATTTACATAATATTTGTTAAGAACTTTAAAATACTTTTTCACAACACTGATACATGCGCAGCGATTAACGGCTATCGAAATTCCGATACCTTGAAAGATTTAGCTTGGAAACTAATACATACACTCGGCGTAGGAAGGGAATGAAACATCACACGTACACCAGAGGTCTTTTAAGTTAATCAATTGGACCTTAAGTAACTCATAGAAACTTTAACAGAAATCTGCTGTAGCGTTATTGGGTATTAATAGGTGACTTAACCGATAGGTGACTTGCAGGATGGTCACATTTTTAGTATATGTACATATCGTCACCTAAAATGCAAAATAACGTAACATCACTTTCCATAAGTTTACAGGCGAAGGAAAAACGATATAATGGAAACCACTCATATTGGAACAAAATTTGCGTTTTGGTTATAAAAGGGTTATAAAAGGGTTTTTGGTTACATATACACATGTGATGTAGTGAATCGAAAGCAATAAAAAACTCAAAACTCGATATTTTGATGACACGTTGTTTTGCATTTTAAGTGCGGATGTGCATTATTTTTACAGTGATGGATGAAATGCAATTTTGTAGTTTTGAAATGTAGTTTTGAATGAAAGAGCCAAAAAGTTTTAGAAATCGAATTTATTTTTTAACACTATTTTTGTTAAAAATTAAAATTTACTTCTGAATTTTTTTTATAATATTTATTATTACTAAGTAATTAATTTAAATTAACAGCAAACACAATATTAGTTTAGATTTTTTATTAATTATAATTTGGTTTATTACATTATTTCTAAGGAATTAAGTAATAGAAATTTACAACAATTACAATTTTAATTCAGATTACAATTAAAAAATTGTCATATTTATTTTAAGTTATAAAAATTATGTAAATTTGTCTACTCTTTTCTTTTTCATCTCATATAATTTAATTTTTTATTTCGCTAAAAAAATAAGTAATTAGCATAATTTAGTTAAAAAA